TTTTCAAAAATCTGACCAGTAATTTTATAGACCAAAGAAAAACCTCTATGTTCAGAGTGTATATATATTGAGTATGCATATAAATTGGTTAATCAGTATAGTATTGTCAAATTTATTAGCACAATTTCTTGCGAATTTAATAATAAGCAAAATGTGGAGATTGCCTAGTTTCCTACTAAAAAAATATTCTTTCTCTCTTGGATTTAGTGGGCTATTGATTATAAACGATGAGATTGTTCGGCCGGTATTATGCAGAATCATTAATCACATGACTTTATCTCTATCTACGTTAAGGAGAGATAAGGTCATGTGAATAAACCCATTAAGATTCTCCTGTATTTGCAACGTTATATAATTGCCCGAGGCGAAGTGAAAAACTTATATCTTTCAGATCATTAAACGATTTTTGTCTGTCTGTCCACCCACGTGTCTTTATGATTGGCTGCTTTCGGCATATAACAGTTTCTGTTTTCTTAGTAATATAAAATCATAACAATAATAAGATTTATTGAAATTTCCAAAAATTAGTTTAGTTTCGCAATTAATTTATCTTGTTCAGGCTTTTATGGTTGTAAAGTTTCTCAATTTTGTATTTTATATATATCAATACATTAAATGATTGGATGATTCTGTTTTTTTCATAAGTACATATTTTATTTACGTAATCATTGTTCTCAGCTTGGCATTGCTTTATACAATATTGCTTTTTTTTGATGCAAACATCTGATTACCGTGTGATGCAACAATTTTCTTTGTTTTATACTTGAGAAACGTTTCTATAATCAAAATTATCGCCTAAAATTGCCAATATTATTTAATTTGATTAGTGTTAGCAGTAGACTTGCTATATTCTGCCCAACAACTTTATCTGAAAGAGTTTTTACTTATCTCTTAGGATAAAGTACCAGTTCTTTCTTAATGAAATATATTAAATTTTCTAATATTATTTATGAACAAACAAATTCTATAAACAATATATAATGACAAAAACTATTAAAATCAAAAAAGGCAGAATACTCAAAGCACTTGTCAACGTGTCTTTGCAGGAGGAACAGGGCAACTAGGAAAGTTGTTATGTTGCGATAATGCCAATAGCACTAATTGTCTAGCTAGTCTACCAACTTGCACTAATGTTAATAAGTTAATTCAATGTTGGAGTATCAAAGGTCTCGATGCTTGTATTAGTAGAAATGATACAACTGCTCAGAGAGTTTGTTCGTACCAAAATGATGATGGCATATTTTGATTGGAAGGTAATACTGATCTACCATACAATAATACAGACACATTTGCCAGTGCAATAAATTATATACTAGGCCATTATACTATTAAAGATTCACAAAATGGCACTAGTTGTTATGGTTTTTCTTGTCCTCAAGTAGCTTGTTCTTATGGTTGTCATCAAGTGAATTGTGGGGACTCTCTTGCCTCAGGAAGTTGTCAAGTCACAAATGATTTGGGTGAAACTAATACTCTCAATTATCAGATAGAAATATGTGGTATGGGTTATGATGCTATTATAGCACCACAAGCACCCATTGTGGCTGTTAGTACTTACATACCACCGCCAAAAACAATATCCAATCCGCCTAATAGTAGCCCTGGATCCAATCCGTCTAATGGTAGCCCTGGAACAGCACCTAGTACTTCTATGATAAATAGTAATTCGTACAGTGGGTTGAGTGGTAGTGCAACAGCAGGAATAGTAATAATATTAATAATTATTGTTTCTGTCATAATTGGTATAGTTTATTGGAGACGAACCAGAAATAACTCATCTCCTAATCTCTCTCCACCACCTTATACTGATAATGATGACCAGATAATAATCTTCCACCATTAAAAATAAAATATAAAGACTTAATGGCTAAAGTTAGAAAATAATCTATAATTTGTTCAGATGTTTCTTTTTAAGCTTTTTTTTTTAAAAAATTTAGCAATTTAATCTTATATTTTGTTCAATATGAAATATTTTTAATTCATTTCATAGTCTATGTCTTTATAATACATAATTAAATAAATAGTTTCAAGTTTATCTTATAAAACTCATCATTCCTTTAAATACTCTGATTTCATCGACACTAACCTTTGTAGTCGTATAGTTCTTACATTGAACTAGATTTAAATACCTCACTTGGCGTTATGTAAAAACGTTAATTACATGATGCCTACATGATAAGGTTACGTAAATCAAAATATAAGATTCATATTTGTTCTAACGCAAATTTTAGATTGACGCACATAATTAAAAAAAGTTTAAAAAACTGTTTAAACCGTTTTTTGAACCATCCCACCTATAGATGCTGGTGAAATCAAACCATTTCACCAGGTGAAATGGTGAAATAGTTTTACCAGAATTACACCAAAATAAAATTTTGGTGAAATGGTGAAATTGGTGGAATTGGTGAATTGGTGAATTGGTGAGTTGGTGAATTGGTGAAATGGTAAATTGGTGAATTGGTGAATTGGTGAAATAGTGAATTGGTGAAATGGTGAATTGGTAAATTGGTGAAACAGTGAATTGGTGAAATGATGAATTGGTAAAACAGTGAATTGGTGAAACGGTAAAATGGTAAATTGGTGAATTGGTGAAATGGTAAAATAGTGAATTGGTAAAACAGTGAATTGGTGAAATAGTGAATTGGTGAATTAGCATTAGCACTTTTGCTTTTATTTATTTCAACTAGATACACGAGATCAACGAACTTGTTAGAATAAAATTAAGGTAAAGTTACTTGCTTCTGTCACTTTACAGATTTTATTTTTATATTGTATATATTGCGATCTAACTTCAAACTTAAGTAATCGTTAATTCTCAAACTTTGCCTTATACTTAAATGCAGTACTAGTCGTTTTACTAAATATCATCTTGAATATCTTATTAACAACCCATTTTTTTATATATTGCTATAAACATGGCGTAGGTACTAATAGTACTGAGAAAAAAGCATTTTATTGATATTCAAAATCTGCTGATCTTGATGGAAATTTGAATCTCAGAATGGCGCTGAAAAAAAAAATGTAAGGAAAGCATTTGAATGCTATTTAAACTCTGCTGAAAATAGTGATTTTGGTGAAAATCGTCATCTTTGATATTGTTATTAACATGATTCAGACACTGATATAGGAATTGGCACCACTAAAGACGTAAAAAAAGCATTTGAATAGTTTTTAAAATATGTAAAATGTGGTAATTCTATTAGATAATTTAGTCACAGAATCTGTTGCAGAAGACAAAAGTATAACATTTGAGCGGTATTCAAAATCTGCGATCTTAATAGACAACACAGCCTTGTGTTTTATTATAAGAATAGTTTTTACACTGCTAAAGATTACCAAGCTATCTTCAATTAGTTTGCTCAAACTGTTATAATAGCATTGCCGTTAACAGTTCAATTGAATTTAGGCAGCATTCTGAAGAGATCAGGTCTGTTGAAACTGAAGTTGAAATTGAAAATACTAACACTATATCTTTTTCTCAAGCAATAGTGACAATAACGAATATTTTATATGAGCAAGAAGTTAAAGAAAAAAAACCAACAATATATTCATTTGATGAATTGAGAACAACTATGGAACAAAAAGATGAGAGTTTAAAGGGTTTTTTTAAAGAGTTGTATTTATCGTCTAACCCATCTTCTAAAAGTGAAGATTCAAAGATATGAATAAAAAGACAGCTTTTATTTGTCTGTTATTTTCTTTGAGGAATTCGCAATAAGTTTGTGAATGATATGAAGAGTGATGTGGTATTGTATTTGGATTCTTTCAGTGCATCTGATTCTTCTATAGATACTCTCGCTGATTTGGGTGTAACTACAACATTTCGCACAGTTTCTCGGCATAAAATAGCCATATTCGAAGAACATGCCAACACCGTTGATTCTACACTTGCACAATATATGGAGAATGCAATGGTATTAAATATCGACGATTATCACAGTATCTACACAAAGAGAGTGCCAAATACAACCACCACATCAGATGCTGCATATTTGGTGACAATTTTAATAAATCTAATCATGACACAACCAGCCATTTCGAACATAAATATTCACAACCCTCTTTTAGTCGATGCTGAGTTAATCAAAAGAAATATAACAACTAAGTTTATGCACTTTATAGTTTTTCTCATAATCAGCGTTGGGGATTTCAGGTAGTTGATAGTAATACGAAATTGGAAGAACTAACTATACACAATTACGATACTAGGTTTAAAGAAAAATGAAGCACTCGCTCTATGAAAGATACCGTCCTTATCGATTTACAAGAAAACGATCTCCACACCATAAATGCATATGTTAAAGCTATCAATACTATCGCAAGTGTTTCATCTGTGCAACAATATCTTGAGCGGGGAAATATTATACCTGTTATTGCTGATTGGCCTAGACAAATTCATCTTCAAACTGCAATTTCACATTATTTGTCTCATCGTGAATTATCAAATATTACTAATATTATATTATCTTTTCTTCCTATTATAGGTCCCCTTCACATTTCATTAAATAGTTGGAAATAATTTTTATTCAGTACTGGCCTTTTTTTTCTGCTATGTACAAGTTTATCTTTAGAGAACAAAAACACCTTGCACAAAATCCCAAGCCATGGCGTATCAATCTCCTTTTAGAGATTTCTCGTAGTGCTTGGCAAGAAATTTCTTTGACCGTTGAGGCAAAATTCGGACCTTTGTATAAGGACGCTGAATATCTTGCGCTTAAGGATCTTCTTGATAATATGATCCCACTTGTGCTAGATATTTATATTGTATTTTTCCGGGCCAGTGATTTCAATGCATACTTTGAATCTTGTTTTCGTGTTTGGATATTGTTTTTTAAATTTCAACGTAAAAATTACACAAAAGCGCCACTAATGTTTCTTTCTGATATATTTTACTGAGAGTTAATTAATCATCCAATTCTAGATATAATTAAGAATGAACTACCAAAATTTTTCAATTCAACAGTCGAAATTTTTCATAGCTTTTTGCGTAGAGGCATGCAGAAAAATACAGAAGCACAACAAATAATTAAATACGAGCATTATATAAATCAGCTACATCTAGATAGTAGTGGGTTTAGAGAAAATTTCGCACGTATATCTACTTGGGCAACACAAGAGTATTCAGCATAGGATATAACGGCATTGATTAAGAAAAGTGCTTGTTTTCTTTTACAATGTTTTTCAGATATTCACTTACGTTTTTTTCATACTAAATCACTAATCTTACTTCCATCACAGACAAGTTCCTCTTCCAAGAGAAAACGTGATGAAAATAATGAAACTATTCCATTAATTGCGATGAATATGCCAGAAGCACAACTATGCCATCTCCCCTTGGGTTTTAGTTCTTCGTTTAAACCAGATTTATATTGTTACTGTGATGCATCTAACTGTCTGTCTTTTTCTGTTAATATAGACACTATCAAAATTCTAGCCTGCGGTCATATGTATCATAATTTCTGTTATGATAGCAATGGGTCTAAATGCTTCCACTGTCTTTCATTATTACAAAATGGCATTGATGACCACATTCAATCTTTACTAGAAAGGCTGAAGAATCTTGATGACAGAAAGAAAAAAAAAGAAAAAAAAGTACCTGCTCAAGAATCAGAAAAGAATACTTGTGATGACGATAACGAAGTTGTACCTGTGAGATATAAAGCACTCACATTAGAAGAAGCATTAAAA